CAGCACCTAAAACTGGAAGCCTGGAAAATGCCCTGCTGTGAAAGCAGGAGAGGGGCTGAGGGACAAGGGCTCCTTTACTGGTGTTCCCCCACGCCATTTAGCTTGCCACAGACAGGCTGCCCTGCCTTTCACCTCCCCTCTCGTAGCCTGGGCTCCAGCTGCCCCATAACCTAAATGCTTTCTGGTACAGACTGGGGAGCTCACCAGCTCGCCCTGCCCTCCCAGTATGCTGGCACAGCTCAGGCTGGGCGTCCCCAGGGCTTCCTCCTTCAGGCACCACCGTGGACGCCCTGGGCTTTTTTTCTGCAGAGTTGCCCCTCAGCCACTCACAGTACTGCATGCACCCCCAGCCTTGTTCCCCAGTGGGCACAGGGTGCTTTAATCATCTGCTTTGATCTCACAAAATCCTCATAAAAATAATTTCTTTAGCTGGTTGAGGTCCCCTGGTTGGCAAGGTGCCTGTGTAGCAGTGCTCTCTGTAGCCATCAGTAACCCTGTATGGGGCGTTCTGTCCCGTCACCAAGTTTTCTAATAAAGCTATTAACCACTGTTGGCCTGGGTGTTCATTAAATCCTAAGTTGTACCTGAGCAATTTATCTGAAAGTTATTTTGCTCTGTCTGCAATTTCAAGTGCAACATAGCTTCTTTGACCTATCCTGGAAAGTTTATATGGGGTGTAAGGAGCCATCTCATCTCAGCTTTGAACTCACAGGAGCTTACACTCTTTCTAATTCCATGCTAGTCTAGTCCCTGATTTTCTGTGCAATCCTAATTCTGGTTCAGGTTTCTGTTACTACGAGAATAATATTTCAAAGGTGACCTTCAGAAGGAAAGAGAAAGGGTTAATTTTCTTTTGTTAGTTCCTATGTTCTTAATGTGTGGACCCAAACTCTGATTTACAGGATAGGGTTTTTATTGGACTTTATTTCTCTTTTTTTTTTTTTTTTTTTGGATGGGGGGGAGTTGGGTGAGGTGTGGGTGATTCCCTTCTCCCATATATGACAAATTTATCCTCTCTGCTTTAGAAAGCCTCATGGCTAATAGCAGGTAGTTTGGTAGGTTTCAGGTGCCTAAGAAATCAGGTAGTAAGAAGATGTTAGAAGGGATAATTGATTTCTGGTTTAAAGCTTGCCAGCTTTTATTTAGAACACCTTCTCTTCTGAACACTGAGTATTTACCAGTTTTGGTTCCTTCTTTTCCTTCAGAAAAGATTTATTTTCTGAATTTCCTTTAGTTCCTTCAGAAATGACTTGAGAAAGCATTTAACAATATTTTTTTCAGACAGCAAATAAGACTTCCAGTAAGAAAGGGCTTTCTGGTTTTGATAGTTAAGTATATATATAAGCATAAGGGAAAGCAGTCTATTCCAGGTGTTCGTGCATTTTAAACTAGCAAAGCAAGCCAACCAGAAAGGGTCAAACCCAATTTTTTTCCTTTACAGGTCACCTCTGTTATAGATCAAGACCAGGACTTTTCATTCTTTTATGAAGCAAGTGGGGAGCCAGTGGAATTTGCAAAGCACAGGTGTGTGATGGGTTTGTGTCAACCACTGATACTCCCTCTTTCAGTTAATTTTTAGCAGTCACTGTGGTCCTTATGCAGACTGCTCCAGTAACTACAGATTATCTGCTATATATTGACACAAATACATCTTTACCTTCCTGTATGACTATTAGGTTTTGAGAAAATATTGGTTGCTATCACTTAAGAAGTGTTGAAATATTTATTTTTTCATCTTCAGTTAGATGAAGTGAATGATCAATTGGGGAATGTGCTGAGATAAGTCTGTGCTACCAGTATTTTAATAAATCTTTAAAAAAATAATAATGTGGAACTGAATGGTATGTATTTTCCATTTGTATGGCTGCCTGGTGGAAGAAATTGCTAATCCTTTCTTTAAAAATTCAGCACTTGAATCTCAACCAGTGACTACTCTTTCCTATGGTACTAACTAATATAAAACATTATTCATTTGACTAAAGAAAGAAAATGTATTGGGATTAAACAGAATGTAAGGGAGCTAATCCAGCAACTGAAGTTTTAGTAGTACCTGACAGAATCAGAATAATCAGTGAAACTTGAATACCTGCAGTTTGACCATGTTTTGATTTTGTTGTTTTGTTGTTTTTTTTCCCTTACCATGGGTAAAGGAGCTTAGGTGCTATCTTCATGTTGTAACGTAGTCTTAAATCAATTAATCCATTTCCTTCTCTTTGTTCTGCACTCGAGCTTTTGAGTCCAGTCTGGATTTGGTGAATGTATTGTATATCATCAGCCTCGATCCTACGCTGTGAGATCTAAAGTTGTGTCTCCTTGAGTTTGTACCCTGCAATACCATGCAGTTGTTTAGCCAGAGCACAAGGTAGGCAAAGGTACAGACACAGTTGATGAGAGAACAAAAGCTCCCTCTGTTTCTATTCAGTTCCTGGTGAGAATTCTGAATCCACTTTATTTTCCTGTTCTGAAGTCAGTAACTGGTATAGTGTATAGGCCAGCACGGACCCTTTTGGCTTTAGTTAGAATGCCATGAAATCTTTGACTCAGTGTTTGGAGGTTTTCTTCTGCTTCATTAAGAAGTGTTTTTGAGATCACTTGCTACACCCTCAAAGTATTCAAGCCTTCAGACCTCTCACTTGTAGCCTTCATTGCCTCACAGATCAGTGCATTAGCTTTTCTTAACACACATACTGGGTTCCTGTTTACAACAACCGTCTAGGCAATTGAGGTGAAAAGGAAGAATAGGATGGCAAAATTACTAGAGCTCAGAGGGACATTTGGAAAGCTGACATGATTTCCAGTGTGAAGAAGCCCTCAGTATCTGAGACAAAGGAATGTTGAAATTCAGCCTGATTTCTCACAGAAGTTGCACAAAATATCTGACTTTACTCAGCATTAGTTCACAAATCTTCATAAACTGCCAGGCCTGGGGACACTAGGTCAAGCATACTGCCAGTCGATGGCCTACCTCTGTGTTTTTACTTTGTGATCTGTGTGGTGGCCCTGTCACCACCATAATGTGGCATGGGTAAAACGGTCTCACTTCTGAAGAAAGATGGCATTAATGCTTGCTGTGTTTCATCTCCTGGAGCAGTCTGGCTCTCTGACTGCTGGGGTACAGAGAATGAGTGGCCCACTGCAGATGGTGTCCTGCTTAGGCTGTGGTCTCATTTCATGGCCTGAGCGAGTAGTTCCTAGAGTCTTGTTAACTATTTATAATCCTCCTTTACAGTATTTACATTTATGATTAATCATTGGAAACTTGCTGCTATACTAATTCTAGTATACCTAGAGCACCACATTCTCAGATTAGGATGGTTTTATTAGCTATTGCTTCATTAGAAATTATTGTAGTTGGACTGGGTGATGCTGATTTCTGAACACAGTACTAACGAGCCATGGATGAAAAGGTATTGGAGATTTTCTCCTGTAGCACAGATGTTTTTTGTGCTTTTTATTAACATGAAGCTAAACTTTTCTTTTAATTGAACCAGTATACATTGGCTTTGTGACTTGTTTATATCCAGCAAAAATGAGTAGTGAAGAGAGGCAATTTTGCAGTTAGGTATTTGAAGTATACAAAACTAATTTGCCCTGGAGGTGTGAAAGTAACAGGCTTGTATAATTTCTGCTGATTTTTTTTTTCTTTTTGATTATTTTTCATTATCAGAAATTTGCCATTTTGTAAAGCTTCTGTAAACTGATGTAGTTCCTTGTATAATTCTTCATAAGAGAGCAAAGTCGTAACAAAATAAATTGCTTGCAACTCTAAGGAATATACTTTTATGAGCTGCTGTAATGTTTATTTCCACTCTGGTAGTGATTTCTCAGATTGTAAGGATCAATTAATTGGAAGCCTCACCTAAGGAGGTCTAGCAAGTCTAGTGTAAATAAAAGCACTTTCACAATATTTATGGTTTCTCTCCCTCTTTTTTTTTTTTTTGGAGATTTATTTACCTTAGGGATCTCAAGCTGGCAAACTTTCAAGCTATACCCATTTATCCTGTTAAATAATTTTTGTCTTTGTTTAGGACATAATCAATTCCTACATTTCTATCTAACATTTTTTTTTCACAGATATTTAGCCATAATAAGGCTGTGTTAATGAAGTAATTAGGAGTTATTTCTCTTTTTTTCTGAAAATGCAAATGCTCTCACAGGGAAAAAGGAAGGTTTTTCTCTGCCAAGATTTTGTTCAATGGTACCTACTTTATTATTTTAAAATTAATATATGCATATATAAAAAGAAGAATGTTTATTTCATGGAAGTCCAGATGGTGTTTTATTACCTTGTGTGGTAGCAGTATTTATATGGGGTTTCTTCAGATCAAGCTTCACAGTAGGAGATGGTGCACAGTCAAAGATTTAAACTACATTTACACTAGAGAGCGTTTATGGCTACTCTTCTGTAGGTACAGCTTACGCTGATGAGAGAGTGTATGAATTTTGGTGGGAGACATACTTTTTTGTCATCACAGGTATGCCTATTTAACAGCTTGGGGGGCGAATATAACCCAATTTTCCTTAAATGCTATTAGTGGGGTTTCATCCTTATCTTGAAAACCATGGCTATTGAGCAATAGAAAGCAGGACAATACAGGATCTAGAGTGTTTCCATGAAATAAAGGAGCTGAAAGGAGAATGAAATCCAAGGGTTGGGCCTGTTATTCTCAGGGCAATTGTTGAACCTGGGCACAGAACTGTATTTTCCTTACATGCCACTGTTTTAAGGTTTTGGACTTTGAGCTTTCTCCTCTCAAAAGGAGTGAAACTTCCCAGGCAGTACAGATATATATAAAAGCCAGGCTTTTCATCTTGAAAAAAAGATGCCTGTCAGCTGGTAAATGTGCAAATAAACACTTCTGCAAATGCACAGAAGTTTAGCAAATAGACATGGCAATATTACTGTTGAATTTTACTGTAATTAGTTTCTTGTGATGGCAAAATCCTGGAATAGAACTGCTTTTAAACACTGATTTTTCTTTTTTTCTTTCTTTTTTTAGCATTGGTTGGACCATTCTAAATTCATTAAGAAGCAAATAAAAAGTAAGTGCCATGTCTATGTCTGTTTATTTTGTTACTTCCTTAAGAGTTTGAACTTGGAGTATTTGAATGTGATTGTGTAAATATGGCCTTTAACAGACTGAATATTTCTTAGAAAATAGATTTAATTTAATGGCTAATTGGCTGGCTGTGTCTGTATGTCAAAATGCAAGAGCACTTACAAGTAATAGACCAGTCTTCTGCACCCTCATTAAACATGTCCTGTTTGTTTGAGATAGAGTAGGTTGCCAGGTAATTTTAGTCTGATCTGTGAAATCAGGTTGCCTGGACACAGATCTTGGTTTCTGTCACTGTTTCTGATCCATAACAGGCTTTGTGATTTTTTTTTTTTTTTGGATGAGTAAATGGAAGATATTTTATTCTGTAACACTGATTGTCTTTTTTTGTGCATTATGTTAAAACTAGCAGAAATATCTGGTGTTTCATCAAAGGGAGTTTTGAACAGAGGGGTTGGCTTCACCAATGAGTTTTCTGTGGATGTTTGCTAAGGTGCACAAGTTGTTCCTGGAGCTCTAATAATCTAGTTGCAGGCTTGGGTGCAGAGCAGGATCAGCACTAACCTGTTTTGTTAATATGCTCCGCTTGGCAACAGCTGTAGGCCAATTGATAATATTGTTTCTGTAAGATTAAAATGCAGTGTTCTGCAAGGGAGTTGTTGACCAGATTACAGGACCTCACAAAGGTGGGTCTTGATTGCTTCAGTGATGCTTTGCCTTTCTTCCTAATAAGCATCAGGATATCTATACAGATATAGATATACACACACACATACATATATATATCTTATTATTTATTTATTTGTGAATAGTGAAGCCCTTCTTCAAAGGCCTTTAAGACGTTCTGTTTTCACCCCACAGCATGTGGGTGTCATTCTGCTAGAATAAGTAGTAAAGATACCTGTTACGGGTAATTTCGTGTTGGGTGGCCTTCTCTAACTTTTTCACCCCATCACGGATTGCTTTACCATAAGTGGCTCAGTGTTTTGCAGGTGCGCTTTCTTAAATAGCTTTGTCTTCTTCTTGATCTGTCTTAAAATATAGAGAATATACAGTTCTTGAACACTTTCAACCAGCTTAGTTGCAGTATTTTGTCTGAGTTTAATTTGTGAAGTGCCTGCATTGAAAACAAATTGGCTGAGCCCTGACGTGAGGAGCCGTGAAGAGTAAAGCAATGTGATGAGTGCTGTAAAGCTCTGCCTCACAACAGGATGCATCCCATTACCGTGAATTCAGCAGGTGCTCGGAGAAGAGTTCCCCTTTCAGGATGGATGTTGCTCACTGCTCTGGTTTGCCCCCTGGCAGCGAGCAGATAAGAGTCATTACCTTGCTGATCCAAACCTACCAGTGGCGCCCAGTTATCAGCCTGGAGTACTGTAACCTGTCTTCTTGGAGCTGTCCTTGGAGACGAAGTCAAAGCTCTAATAATTAGAGTTTTGGCTGCAAGTCTTTCAGTAAAATAGATGGGTAATAGGCACATACATACTGTGTTGGTGTTGTGTTACAGAAAAGTTTAAAAAGGTGAAAAAGTCATTTTTCCAGCACTTCAGATACTTGCAGGCTGTCAGTCTAGAAGATGAGACAGAGGCAGATAAGGATGCGTTGGCTAGTCTCATGTTAGTAGTGATGTATGTTGATAATTTAACAAAACTGATGTATTTGATTATTTTTTTAGTTGTTTGTGCCCAGTAGCAAGAAGCATCGCTCTTTCCCCTCTCATTCCCTCCCATCTCCCCACCCCTCAGCAACTAGCAGTGTACCTGGAACTTGCTGTCACTCATAGCATGTTACAGGGCACGTGTCTCTGAATAAAAATGGGTTTCCCAAATGTACTGTTGCTTGATTAATGTAATGATTAGAGTATCATAAGGCATGGTAGTCCTCTATTGTATTTTTGCATGCATCTTAAAATTTAATGACATGAAATATTTGCTTCCTTGAAGAATTTGAAAGCATACTTCATTTGGGGTTTCTTTGGTTGTGGGGTGGTGACTATTGCTCTGCTTTAGCAGAACCACAACTAGTGTAAACTTTTTTTTTTTCCTTTTAAAATCTCTGCGTATACAGTTGGACCTCCGTACACGTTGCATTTTCGAATTAAGTACTATTCATCAGAACCGAACAACCTTCATGAGGAGTTTACAAGGTAGGAACTACGCATGGTTCAATGACGCCTTGCCCTGAGATTCAGAGGTGGTTTAATAATGGTGCAAAAGCAGCAGAAATATGGGAAGAATAGACTGCTTGAGTTGCCTGGTTAGTTGAATTAATCTCTTTCACTTTCCCACGTGGTGCAGAAGGTATAAATACTTTGTTGCGTAGACGTCTTAAAATACCCTGGTAGGCTGTTTTCTGGGCTGTGAGCACTACCCCTTGCTGGGTTCACAGTACCCAGGTGTGATCTGGAGGCTATTCTGAAAACTGGGAAAGGAGCACCCAGAGGAGAGGGGTGCCATCCTTCTGTCATCTTGGTGTGGCAGTCATCTACCTTAATGTTCCTTTATCGTTTTTGGATCTGTTTCTCACAGTGGGGCACTTTCTATATCTTCTCGTTTGCTTGGTAATAATCACTGTACTCCCAGTCGAATTTAGGATGTTCAAGGATTGTTGATTGTTCTAGTTCATGTACCTGTGATGTTTACAGGAAACTTGGGTCTGCTGGCCTGTGTTTATGGTCTCTTGTCCTATCTGCGCTGTTGACCAATTATTTTTGTCACTGCCTAAGACAAGAAGATCAAAGAGCTAATTGTCACCAACTTACTATGAGACTGCTATGGAGGCCTTGGTATCCATTATAAATTTAGTGCAGCAGTGGTGATCCAAAGGAAGGGTATATTCCTATACAACACATAATTAACCTCCAGAACTCCCTGCCAATTACATGATTGAGTGTAAGATCTTAGTTCAAAACCTAAGATGACTTTTGGGCTTCTCTAATGAGAAAATGCAGTTAAATTAGTAGGGATAATACATGTTTTCTGAAAATTGATATGTCTTCATACATCGGGGTATGTCTGACAAGTATTAAATTTCCCCTGTGGTCAAATTATTCCATTACTGTCTACCACAAGATTTCTTGCATAATCCTCTGAAGCTTACAATCCTAGTTACTGTGAGTGGTGGATTTCTGAGCTGTGTGATCGAGTAAGACATTTCCTCTGAAAGTATTAACATCTGATTCTTTGTGATCTAATTATTGCTGAAAGGTAACATTTTGGAAGACTATTTTAATTGGAAAAGCACTATAATCACATAAATTTTAAGTGCTACGAACATATACATTTTTAAATTATAAGTTTGACAGATACCACTGCAAAACTGTGGATGAAAGATGAAAATGAGTTGGAAATTGATTTTACTCTGAAAAAATAGCTGTAGTTTTTCTTCTATATTGAGGGAAAGTAATTTTGAATGCTGCTGTTTTTCTTTTTTTTTTTTTTTTTTTTTTTTTTTAGAATCTTTATGCTGGCAGGGTCATATTTTCCATGTATCACACGTATCATGTTGAGTAAAAAGTAAAGATTAACAACTATATGGTCAGAATTTTTCTAAGTGGAAGTGGAATGGGAGGAAGAGGAGGAAGAAAAATGATCATTAACAACAGTAACCATGAAACTGGGGATAGTTGTTAAGGGGTTCCCTACACAGATGTTTCTAGTAGGATATCCAGTTCCTATTGCAGCTGTAAACATTGCACTCTCATAATTATCACAGCAATGTGGAAGTGGTGAAACCCTTCGCCCCACTCTGTCCTTTCTTGATTTAAAAACAACTGAAATCCGGCACATTTTGGGTGATACCTGTTGTCACTTTTATGGGACCTGGTTAAGTTAAGATAGATAAACAACAGAGGAATGTGTCTGTACACGCGTGTTGTGAAGAATTTTTAAGGTATGCTGCCCTGGAATACCAACAGGTGAGATGCAGATGCTTGTCCGTCTGCATACAGAAAAGGAGCAGAAGCCATCGCAACCAGAGCAGAGCTGCAGTGCTGTACACTGAGCTGGCGCTGATGAGAAACACTGCTCGGATTTTTCTTGCAAAATCAGATGAGTTCATGGGACAGCAGATCATCAGGGAGAAACAATAGGAACAGGAAATACACTTGTCTGTCATTAATCTATGCGTGCAAATACCCAGGTTTGGCAAGTCAGGTATTAGCCAAGTACATGAATCAGAAATGTGACACAGAGCTAATTGGATAAATCTCATTCTGCTTTAGTGTATCACAAGAAATCTTTTTAATCTTCCTTTTCAGCTCTGTTCTCCTGTCTGATTCCAACTATTCATTCTTCACCACATTCACTGCAGGTCCTTGGTGATGCAAAGCACTTTGTCTTTCTAGCATCCTGTGTAAAGATAGGAGAGGTTCTCCTTTACCTGGTTGACAGCAGTGCTTCATGCCTTCTTGTCTTGCTGTGCTCATCATTGCAAGCCTCACCCTCAGCATGCAGAGCAGTGCAGAGCCTGCTTGTGCTGTCCTGTCCTGTACAGAGCTCTCGTGTGGCCTCGGGCACTTCTGCATGCCTCAGACCTCAGCTCTGAGTGGCTGTGAAACATGAAGCATGCCTAGAGCTGGAGATTAACAGGAGCTTAAAATACTACAGTTTGCAGGCTGTAAATACCTACTTGGCCTTCAAAATAAATGTGTGGGCTCCTTGGAATTCAGGTTTCTGTTATTCAGAGCTCTTCTGTCATTTAGAGTGAACATTTGGTCTCAACTTTTTCTTTAGCCCAGCTTTGATTTCTTCCATGTTCTGTATTTCTGTTTGAGGAGGTAACCCCAGAAGTCTTCATGCCTTTATCTGTGTTTTGTGTCTAAATCCCATAGTTTACTTCTTGCCTGAACCAGTTCAGGAAAACATCGGATTGTCAGTAACTTTTAGGTTGCTCCTTTGTGTGCTTGGAGTGGAGCACAGTGTTTGTGACCTGGAAGTGGAAGAAGATATACTGGGCACAAGCAGTAGGTGAATAAGAGTCCCTTCTTGAAGTGTAGCAAAAGTTTAAGGAACTTTGAAGGTGGCAGGGTATGTCGGAATGATCCCAAAGGCCCTTTTGTTTAAGAGGAAAGTAATGAAAATGTTGTGACTACTCAATGAGCTGGGGTATTATTCCAGCCTTTGGGGCTAAAAGGGTGACACTGTTACATAGTTCTGACTTTTTCAATTTTTATTTGTCAGGTACCTGTTTGTATTACAGCTCCGACAAGACATTCTTTCAGGGAAGTAAGTACCTCTTCGCTCTTGCAGCTGTAATTTAAAGTATTTATAATAGTTAATCTCTTAATGACATAAAAATTTACTTTGTGTGATCTTTTCCATTCTTTACGGGATTCATGCACAGATTATAAATGTGGTGTACGTTTCTATAAGCATTTCTTCCCTTTAGGATACAGAAACGTATGACTTTGTGTAAATATAACTGAAAACTAAAATGGGTAAACACCTTCTGTGGATTGAGCAGGTGATAGAAATATATAAATAGGGCAAAGACTGTCCTGATTTTTATGACTTTAAAATGTAGCATAAGCTTGCCGTATTTTTCAGTCTGACAAGTAAACTAGAAGAGGAAAAGATAATGAAGTGCATCACTCTTTGTACAAGTGAATGCTTCAGAAAATATTTTGTATGTTTATAGTCTCACCCTGGCCAATAAATTCATATCTGATCTTTATTGTTATAATTAAAAATAATGAAAACCAACATGGTTGTCTCTATTACTCGAGCTTGTTTTATAGTAGACTATATCATGTGTTCGGCACTACTAAGACTGTACAAATTAGAAAATAATGATATGCAAGTAAAAATTAATTTCAGACGTTTTATATCATTAATAGCTTGTGTTTTAAGAGATCTTGTGGAAGTTTGCGTGTCCCTTTCATCTGTCAGACCGCTTTTTAGCTGTTTGGCAAGAAGTCACTTAGGAAAAAAAATACATTGTTTTTATAGCTTGTTTTTTTTTTTTTTTTTTTAAGACTGAAATGCCCGTATGAAACTGCTGTTGAACTAGCAGCTCTGTGTCTTCAAGGTATGCAGCCTTTTGAAAGTGATTTGTCTTAATGTATTTAAAATGTTCACCTACTGGTTTCTTCTCACACTTGATTGCTACTGTTTTCTCATTGATAATACATTGATGCCATTTCTTTATGTGAGGAGAAGAATTTCAGGGAGATGGCTTTTGTGTCTTCCCTCCACTCATAACTCCTGAACAATGTATGCCATACAACATATGCCATACACATTTGACAAGGGAAAAGAGCCTCAAAAGCATGAGAGAACAAAGGTTTCATGGAAACCAGGGGCTGAGCAGAGAAGGGAAACCACAAATAGCTCCTTACTGAAGGAGAAGATGTGGTGTGTGCACAGTGTTATCTGATGAGCCTGAAACTGGCCCAGCAGTACACGCTTTATGGTACGCCAGCCCCTGCAGGTGTAGCCTTGAACATGGGATTCCTGTTGCCTGGCCCGTGCTTGGGAGAGATCCTAAACAGTATGTGGAACAGGAGATGGTTGTAGCACAAGGGAGGGAAAGGCAGGTACTGGGGAGGAGAGAAGTATATGGAAGGATGAGAACTAAGGTTCATTTGAGGCAGTTTGTTTTGCAGGTAGGGACAAAACTTGTGTAATGAAGCTTCAAGTTCATTTTTTCTAAAAGAAAGTGTCATGATCTGGATCATTCTACACTTATCAGCAGCAAAATGAACTGAAGTGAGAAATACTGTTCTTGTTCCGCTGGTGGCTGGCAATGACACATGGAGTCGTGCTACTAAGAGGCAGAGTCTCTTAGTTTAACAGAGCAATGAAAATGACTCTGATTCTAGATGGACTTGACAGTTAAAACTGGGAATTCATTTCCAAACAGCAACAGGTATAAATCTTGAGGCAGAAGGTTATGTCTGGCTTTCCATTTGCACCTGCCTGGGACAGCTCTGACAGCTAGGTGTGCAAAGAACTGCTGCAGGCAAACGCCATTTGTGGTTTTGAGGTGGAGAAAATCTGGAGCCCGTATTTGATTCATTGCTTCAGTTTTCACAGATAAAAACAATGGTAACCTCACCCCTGGTCTAAGCAAGGACAACCAAGCAAAGAATGATAGGTTGATGCCTCAACATTTTGGATAGTAATTAACACCTGTGATTACTAACTAAACATAATAAAATAGCCATCCATCATGTGGAATATAGGTACTTACAATGTCTCCAATTAGGTATCAAAGCTAAGACTTCTGGACACTGTATGTGGGAACATACCAGAGTTGTGGTGGTATTTTTACATTTTTCTGCAATCTATTTTTGTTTTCTACTATCTTGACCTCATTGCAATAATTTTTTCCAAAATTGTTTTACCTACTACAACTGATTTATTATTTCTGCTGGCTTATGCTATAATTAGCATTCTTCTGTAACATTTATTGCATTTTTATTGATGCTGGAATCTTTTAATTCAGCAGAAGAGTCTAAAGAAATGTCAAGCGCTTATTCCCTCCCCAGTAGGTTACCTTTACCCTGAACAATCCAATCTTTCTGCTTAGTTTGGCTGTCCTCGAGGTAAGGAATAAGCTAAAAGGCTACTGAGGAATAGGTACTCTAAAACCTCTGAAAAAGAGCCCTCTTCTATTTATAGGACGTCTTTCAGTTTCAGTATGTTTTCTTTATCAAGGAGATTGTTATGCTATGTTAATTCTTTCTTTGTTTCAAACAACAATTTTGCAGGCTGGCATTTTGCATGAATCCTCTTTCAAACATAAATCATTGCTTTGTTGCCAGCCCTGTGAAGGAATTCTCTGGAAAACGACACTGATTTGCAGTATGGCATAACTTGGAAAGCAGATGCCTAATCACATGCTTTAATTAGGGGTTAGCCACGTAACGGTTATAAACAAAAAATACTTGAGTTATCACTGGTAGAATAAGTTTTTAACTACCTCATTAGTCTTGTATGGGTTTTGTATTTAATCAGGTATGCTTTTGAAAGTAGTAATTAAACTCAAAAGGAAAAACTTTTTCTCAGCTTTCCAGCTTTCAATTTAGAATTGAAATACGATCATCAGATCTCTTCATATAAACACTGTAAACTTTTTTCCCTCTGTATAAACGAATCGACAGGGTATTTACTATGAATATGTTTTTGTACTTTTCAGAAACTTCTAGAAACTTCTTTTTAAAAGTTGTTTCCAGTTCATGCAGTTATTTATTGAAGAACATGGGTAATGAATATAAACATGCTATGTAACCCCCACATCCCCGATAAAGAGAGGAAAAGAGGATGGGGCACGCCAAAGTATGATGTTCTGGCATAAAACCCCAAAGAAAGAGATGGGTCCTCTGCTGTCCCCATGTTTTGAAAAATATTAGTGCTCCTGAACCAGATGTTGGAGAATCCACCACATCTTTGGGGAGGTTATTCCAAAGATTCATTGTTCTCACTGTAAAATATTTTTACTCTTGTATCCAGTCAGGACATCCCCTGGTACAACTCGTACCCATTGCCTCTTGTCTTTTCCACCTGTCTCCTGGTAAAAAGGGAGTCTGTCATCTTCATCTGCTACTCTTCAGGTGCTGAAACATAGTGATGGTCTCTTCTCGGAGCCTCCTTTCCTCCTGGCTGAACAAACACAGTTCTCTCAGTCTATCCTCATATGGCAGGCTTTCCAGTCCTCTGATCGTCCCAGTTTGGGCCTTTTTCAGCCTCCCCACACCTCTTTGGGATAGCGGGGACCAAAACTGAATGCAGTGCTCCAGGTGTGGCCTGACAAGTGCAGAGTGGGATAATTAAGAGTGGGTCTTCACTGTCTCTGCTGGTGATGCCCGTGCTGGTGCAACCCAGGTTCTCAGTGGCTTTCCTGGCAGGGGCAGCACACTGTTCACCCATACTGAGTTTAGTATCCACCAGGACCCCAAAGTCCCTTTCCACACAACTGCTGCCTAGCCACGCAGGCTCTTTCTTACTAGCTGTTGTTCTCAAGACCATTTCTTAGAGCGCTACAGATCAGAAGGATGACAATTTATTTGCCAGAAAATGAGTGAATAGTAAGTGCAGCTATTGAGAAACAAGGCTGGTTGTGATTTTCCCTTGTTAAATGAAATAGTAACACTTTTGCTTCCTTGCTTCTGCCTTAGCACCTCCTGGCATATTTTGTCCTACGTGCTCATGATACTTTTGAACGGTGGTTCTCATCTTTACATGTCCTCCTTATGGCATAATCAGCTTTCATTCCCAGCCTTCTCTCAGTTAAATGGTAGAGAAATCGCCCATGTTTTTCCTAGATGGTTGTCAACACATCAGACTTGGTTTCTTACTCTCTCTTTTTTTTTTTCCTCTTTTTTCCTTTGAAGTCCTTACTGATGTGTTTGTAGCTCCCCTCTTACGTACTGGAGATTGGACTGCCAGTAATTTTTAGCACCATCTGTGTTAAATAGACTTCCAACTTAGATAACACAGCAGCAAAGCTGAGATATCTGTTGAAGATGTATAGATAAGAATACTGGAACTAACCATGGAAGAATACTGGTGAAAAGGAAAGGGGAAAAAAATGTGTTACAAATGAAGATCAGTGAACTCTGTTTAATATCCTCAGGAATGCCAAATGTCGAAGCCAGGGCTAAATGTTTGAGCATAGCTCGTGTACTCAAACACCTAGTACGTTTTTGATTAACAGATCACATTTTACATGTAAATTCATGTTTTAATGTATCCTCCTAGGTATTTTTGAAACTTAGGAAACTTTATTTCCTTTAAATATTTCAAAATCCAGAAAAGCGGCTGAATTAATGATTTATGAATCTTGGTTAGAAGTTTTTGCACATGGTGTGTAAAACTGCCCTGAAGCACTGAAACTGTTTTCTTCAAGGGCTTTCATTTCCCTCTATATTTTCCTGAAGAGACACCGACTTAAAAAGCACTGGTTTGGAATCACAGCAAATGTCAGGTGATGTGGTATTGCTGAAGAGTGTTTTTGCCACTGCTGTTTGTGTCTCAGACCTGAAGCAGTGACTTTACAGTGTCTGTGAGGCTGAGAAGTTCCCAGAGCAAGGTATGTCTCAGGCACAACACAGCTCAGGGCACAAGTCACTGAGATGCTTAACACCTGCATCTCCTCCTGAGCTCAGCAGAGCTTGCAAGTGTTCTGCTCCTAAAAAAAAAAATATAGCAGGCCCTACCTAAGTAAGTAGACAGTGATACCTCAGTTATGGAGATACTTCAGCATTGCTTTCCTTAAAAATTACTTCATCTGAATATTACATCACCATCGTGGTTTAAAACAAACAAACCTTACCAGTAGTTTCTTGAGACTGGGCATTGTCTTTGTGTTTGGATGGTTACCCTAATGTAACAAAGCAAGCAGCAGAATGGGGAATGTTTGGAATGAGAAGTATGATGTCATTGCAGCCAGAGGAAATTTCAACGTAACCTTTTCTGAAACAGTAGTGCATTGATTTTTTTTTCTTTTAATAGAAACTTTATTTCCTTTAAATACGTAAAAATCCAGAGAAGTGGATGCAGTTCTTAAATGTTAGAATTGCTTACCAAGAGCTTAAACTGCTCTTGTAAATAAGTTTATTTCATTTTGCTGTAAGAAGTGTTTTGAGTTTGTGGTGGGTTTTATGATTGTTTTTAATATAAAATATGTGCAAAAATGTGTTCTTCTACAACATACTTAAACAGATGAACTATAGCTATCTATGTGGAGATTATAAAATTCAACGTTTCTAATCATCCTGGTTTTTTTGTTTGTTTTTTAACTTTCCAACTGATTAATTACAGCTGAGCTGGGAGAGTGTGAACACCCAGAGCACACACCAGAACTAGTGTCTGAATTCAGGTTTGCACCAAACCAGACTGAAGCAATGGAATTTGACATTTTCCAGAAATGGAAAGAGTGCAGGTAGGATACCTGTGTGGGAGTGGTGTCTAGCAACAGAATGTTTTCTTTTCTTCCAAAGTCTACAAAGTCTACAAGTATCCCCTTAGCAAACATAAAACAGCAGTTACGTGAGTTGAGAAGTATACTAGACAGAAACCTCCTCCCCAGAAATAATTAGTTTTTAGTTCAGGGAAGGTTGGTGGGGTTGAGGGTTTTTGTTTGTCTTTTCATTAGTCATTTTGTAACAGTTCAAGCAGTCTTTTTTTTTTTTTTTTTTTTTTACTGTTGGAAACAGTCCTTTCTCTTTCATGCACACACACAGTTCTGTGTCCAGGATAGTAGCAAAAACTTCTTGTGTGCTTTAGTAAATATGGTACATTTCAGTGATCCTGTCTTACCTGAGCTCTCATCCTTACTGGCAGTTTTAGACCTTTTTAAGTTTTTGTCTCTCTGATCTATTTTCACTTGGAGAGAAGAAGGTAAAAGCATAAGATATCCTTGAAATTCCTTTAGTGTCATTAAGATTAAAGGCTTGAAGAAAAGGAGCAGGGAAACAAATTTTAAAATCTCTAAAACAGACAAAAACTTTGTATTTTAAACTAATTTTTATATTCTTAGGGGAAAGAGCCCAGCGCAGGCTGAATTGTGCTACTTGAATAAAGCAAAATGGCTAGAAATGTATGGTGTAGATATGCATGTAGTTAAGGTAAGACACATCTTGTATTTTATTTTACTAAGATGGGGCCAGAAAATTGAATGGAGATGCCGTTGGCAATCCAGGCAAAATTGTCTGAATTCAGGCAATGTCACTTAATTTAATATACTGTCAATTAACATAAAATGTTAATTACCGGTTTGGGTACCAGGGGGAAAAAAATAAGATAATAAACCAAACATAGAAGCTCAAACACGTTCCCTACTCATTCCCTAGACTCGCCTTCAGTCCAGCACTACTCTCCCTTCTTCCTACCATCAACTCCCCCTTTTTCCTGCAGGTTACACTCAGTCCCTCCCAAGGCAAGCCATAAGGTTGGGGGTCATCTGCATAACAGTTTATTTGTGCTGCTTATTATTTCTTTCTCACTTCTCTTTGCTGAGCTGTGCTTGTTACTGCTGCGTGGGTTGCCCACAGGCTTATGTTCCCTCAAGGCCATCCCTACCCCTGGGTGTTCTGTGTGGGCTGCAGTCCCTGGGGGCTATCCCTTCCCCAGTGTGAGGTGCCTGTGGGCCACAGCTCCTCAGGGTTAGACCTGCCCTGGTGTGGATCACTTATAGGCCATAGTTTCTCAGCAGTGTCCCTGCCATGGTGTGAAGTGGCTGTGGGCCCTCAGATGTACCATAGGCCCTCCTGTGTGGACAGGCTTTTCCCAGGAGGGCATCTCCAATCATGTCCCTTTCCACGTCTTTTCCCATGTTCCTCAAATTTTCCCTTTTATGCCAACTTCCCGTGGCAGCTACAGCTTGCTCTCAAACATGTGGGAGCTGTTTAAGAGCTCCTTGGGTATCAAAGCTGTCTGAGGCAGCACAAGGCCTCCTCTCACAAAGGGTGCCCTGCAGCCGTCTGCTGCCAAAGCTCTGTGGTTTACACCTGACACAATTGTGTATTCTTCTGCTCTGTAACATTAAAAAATGCAAACTTAATTATAAAGTTTAAAACCTCTGAATTTTGATACACTATATAGAAGATTTACACTACTAACTGCATATTGATTATTGATTCTGTGCTTGCTTGTAGGGAAGAGATGGTTGTGAATATGCTCTTGGACTGACGCCAACAGGCATATTGATCTTTGAAGGAGCAAATAAAATAGGCCTGTTCTTTTGGTAATCTGCTTTTGTTTTATATTCCTCTCTGTTAAAATGTTGTAATTCTTCTTTACATAAAGAGGTCTTGACTGTATTTTGTAATGAAGATTGAATCTACAAGTTGAAAATAGATCAGAAGTTAAATTGGCCTGGTTAGAAGTACAGCTAGCAAATAATGTGAAATACTTGTTAAAATATAGTTGCATTTCCAGGGCTTCATAACAAAAGCATTGTTGTATTCTGAGGTGTTTCAGGATTGCAAATCCCTCACACAGTTTGGGAGATTGTCCTAGATTACAAAATTATATTTTTTCCATTAATTTTCTGTTTGTTTCCTGTGTGTTTAGGCCTAAAATCACAAAAATGGACTTTAAAAAGAGCAAACTAACACTTGTGGTTGTAGAAGATGATGAACAGGTAAATTTCTTCACTTTCTTTGGCCTGATCCAACAACGTGCAGAGAGTGCTTGGACTGATGAGAACACAAGGGAGACTCAGCACACTGTTGGACCAGGCTGCATTTCTCTTACCACAAGCAGTAACTAATACCATGCATGCCAACTTCCAAAGCTTTTGTTTCTGCATTTAGGGCAGAGAGCAAGAGCACACATTTGTTTTCCGGTTAGACAGTGCCAAAACGTGCAAACATTTGTGGAAGTGTGCAGTGGAGCACCATGCTTTCTTCAGACTACGAGCCCCAGCAAATAGTAAATCTAGTAGATCTGACTTCATAAGGCTGGGATCACGCTTCAGATTCAGGTATTTAGCAAAGTAACAACAAGATGCTTGTTTTACAGAGGAGCAGGTACGGCATCCAGCAAAAGGCAGCAGTTAACTTTATTTTTGTATTTTAAGTGGGCGGACAGAGTATCAAGCCACACATGGGACAAGGTTACGCAGAACTAGCACGTTTGAAAGACGGCCCAGCAAGCGATACCCTTCTCGAAGGCATTCGACGTTTAAAGGCAAGTGTAGATGTGTTTGCTGAACATGCAGGTGTCATGCAGGTGTTAACTCGTGAGACAAATTTCATATTACAGCCATAAAATCTGCATCAAAATATAAACAGAAAAACACAATGTCAGACCACTTAAATATCAGAACTGACATGTTTTTTCCTCCCCGGTCAGAGTCTGTCATTCAAATCTACTGGTTTTAATCTCTGACTATGCTTAATTCTTCTATTCCCCCATCTTTGGAGAATGAGGTATCTATGGTTCTTTTTGTTGCTCAGTAGAGGAGAGAGGAAAGGTTGCATCAAACTCAAATGAGAGAAAGCGTGTAACATGCTAACGTGCTCTTTGGAAAAGTGTACTTGTCATCATCAAGGGTGGAGTGGTGTCCAAAAGCCTCACTGACTTGTTTATCTAGCCAGACAGTTTTAGGGTTATTGAGATTCACTGTGCAGTTGTTGCTGCTTTGCTGACTCTACATGATGTTTGTTTTTTCTGGGGGGTGGGGGGCCATCCTTTGGGGACCCAGGAGTTGGACTCGATACTTGTGGATCCCTTCCAACTTGATTATTGTACAATTCTATGATTCCAGACCCTGAATGTAACCACCTTTCACTGGGACTTGAAACAGGCTGAATTTGAATGCAATGACGAGAAATCGATTTCTCTTTATGGCTTTGTCATTTTTACATCATAACTTAAGATGAGATTTTTATTCCTTGTAGAAAAACCTAGGAAGGAGCACTGCAAGACATCCCCCTCTAAATTACTTTAGGCTGGAGGTATAGTTGCTGTTTGGAGCAGACTGAGCTGATAGTCCCTTAGGATGTCTTTGGATTCCTGTGCGTTCCTAGAATATGAACCTCAGTTCAATTAAAAGTCCTTGTGGTATTACGGGGGCATGTTTACTTCCTCCTCATGTACAAAGGCAGGGAGAAAGGACAGCAAGCATGAACGCTTTCTAGAGGCTACCAGCCCCTCCCTTCCTCGTTAGTATGTCTCTATTTTAAGGCCTCACAAACTAACTGAATTTTTGAGATGGTGTTATTTGTTACATGAGAGTCAATTATGTGGTACATGTGGATGGTTTCATAACTGTTCTGGGTTCTGACAATTTCATGCAAATGTCTGTACGAGTATTCCCTTAAGCTGTAGCGTGACATCGCAATGACAATAGCTGTAAAATGACTGATGTTTCACATGCCTTACATTTTTTTTGTTTGTTTGATTTTTAAGCAAACAATCCTGTGAAAGCAGCACAACTGTGGTAAGTGACTGTCCAGGTTCTCTTTACCTATCAATTGCTGTTGCCAGGCAAAAAAAGATTCTAAACACCATTTCTACGTAAGGATTTATTGACACAAATTCCCTGGTGTAGGATGAATTGCTTGGGGATCTGTCATTATGCAGCACCAGATTCTCCTTGGGGACTGCCTCGGAGGCTTTAAGCACTTCCATGTTTTTTATTTATTTTTTCCTTTTGTGTTTGAGATCAGATTAAAGTAAAGCATATTTCCTTTCTGCTTATTCCTGTTGTGCTAAGTTATCTGGCATTACTTGTTCCTGCTTCATGAATGTAAAATGAAGAACAGAGTTCTGCAGCGTAATTGCTATGGCTTGTATCTTGGACAAACTATTGTTAGTTTGTTAGTAAGTTAGTTTGTTATTGTTAGTAAGGACAATTATGTCCTTAAGTGTGTGAATTTTACTTAACTGTAATGCTTCCTTGAAGCATAGAACCCTGATGTATGGGAAACTGACCTGGAAGTTTTAATAAAAATTAATAATTTGTTAGTGCAAGTAAACTGTTTTGGCTGCACAATTGAGTTAAATACGAGTAAGAATAATGCTTCTTCTTATAACTAACAGATCTTAAGCAGACCTAGCAGAATTCAGCCAGGAATGGATCTTCCATTCGACTTTTTTTTTTTTTAGTACTAATCTAAAAGGCATTTGTTTTGTATATCTTTGGGTTTTGTCAGTCTTGATTACATAAGTTATTTTTTCCTTCCCGTAGTGCTAAAAATACTCCTGAAGTTCATAATTACCAGGTAAGCATAACAATTTTGGAGGAGAATATTAAGTTGTAGTTCTTTTATTTAGGGGCAAATGTTTCTTCCATCTGTAATTAGGACAAGTGTTCCGCTCCCCTTTCCTTCCTCTGGGGTGAGTTCAGAAATAAGCAGCATCAGACTGGGGGGAGTTCAGGGGCAAGTGAAGTGGGCTGTTCTGCCTTGCGTCCCCTGTGTGCTTGGATGCTCTGCTAGCTGAATACACTCCACTGGCCACCCTCTTTCCCTTCCCTTTCTGTGAAATCACAGGTCAGAGCCTGTGGGACTGTGCATGTGGTGGACCTCAAGAGACTGCTCTGTGAGCAACACTTTTGTGCAGAGCAGCATCTCACATTGGAGGAGCCCTAACAAGCTCAGAGTTGTGATTATCTTCACCATAGCAACACTTAAAGAGTTCATTGCTGGTCAATTGTTTGTGGGGTGTTTTTGTTGGATATGAGAGAGAAATGCTGTCACCAAAGATTGGTGACCTTCTGAAGGCAGCTGCCATAATAACCTTTCTCACTCACCACCTTTGATTAAAGATGACATTCCTCTGGTGTGCTTTTTATGAGAAGCACTAGATGTGTCAGGTTATCTCTCAAACAGAAAAGCAATTTTCTCTGCGTTTGTCCATGAACGTGTCCTAATGAGCAAGCTCATCACTAAGAGGTCTCACGTATATGCCAAATGGCATGGGAGAAGGTCTGAAACAGTGGGGCTTACAGGGCTCACAGGTAGCGTGTTCCTCATGGCTCCAGGAAAATAAAAAGTTGAAATTACTAAGGAGTTCTTATATGATTTCATTAACCAGGTTTAATGTTTTCCCTTGCAGCCACAGTATCATCCTAATATACATCCTGCTCAGCCACACTGGCATCCACACACCCCTGTGAATGTAAGGTAAGCAAGCCTCACTTCATGGAAAAGATTATTACTTCTTAATTTATCTAAATCTGTTGGTATGAAGCTTTGGTGAGCATATCAGGTGATTTTCTGCACATTAAAAGCAAACAGAAGTTAGAAAGGTGATTGAGTGAACAGATTCTTGCATTACAGCACTTCTTTCATCTTTTGCAAGAAATGTACATGGAAAAATAAAGTGTACATTGAGTAATGTATCAGGCACTTTACAGATAACTGGTGGAATTACTTAGAACATGTATTTTTTGAGAAGTATTTGACACAAATATTCCTGTTCATGTTGTTGTGCTGTTTTGATAGTTTAGAAATTAAGTGAAAATAAATTTTTGGAAGAAATTCAATCCAATGAGTTTGGTGGAATGGGCAGGTGAAGGCACACACCTGATGGTGGATATGTGACTGTGCATGTATGTGTGATAGCTGCTATTTTATCCTAATAGAAAGAAACTTTCTTAGGTTGTTCAGGTTTTAAGGTAAATAATTAATTGTCTTGACCGAAAAAGCCTTAATCTTCATTTCTATTCATTTTACATTTTAATCTTATATGCTTACATCAGAACTGCTAGGTTTTGTTCTTAGTGTGAGTGACTCTGGAGGTAAAGCAGAGCTTAAAATGGATGAAAAGACAATTTGGCCTCAGTTTGAGAATCAGGAAAGGGGCAGATATTTTAATAGAAGTACTGATTAGGCAGAGGAGCACTCATTGTCATCTCAGAATTCCTCACGTAAAGCAGTAAATCAGATATTAAAATTGTTAGAAACAGAAGAATGTTTAAATCAGATAATTAACTTTGCTTGTATTTCATGTTCAAGGTTTTTCCTGGTTTTAAGGTTTACATGTCCATTTTTTGTCATTTAAAATTTCCAATTTCAAATTACCCACGATCAACTACTGATGGAGGTTAATGATTTTAAAGTCATTTGAGGTTTTGCTGAATTTTTTTCTAAAGATTTTTTTCACGTAAGACACATTTTAAAGCCAAATAGTTCACCCTGGAGCAGAGTGATACTGAAATAAGCACAATAACGTATTGTGAAGTGTATAGGCAATCTCCCACTTCAGCTGCCTGGGCAAAGATTAAGGCCAGTGAAATATGAACAATGGCTCTTTTATAGCTAGGCTTGTAAGTCTAAAAAACATACTTAAAAGCCGTCCTGCAAACTCAGGAGAAAAGGTGCTTTGAATTTTTGTTCCAGTCAGGTAAAAGTGTCTAAATGTGTGGTTAAAGTGGAAGCTTTAAGTTATTTTAACTTGGAGTCAGAGTAGTGGAGCTGCACGTCCAACATCAGGAATAGCTTGATTTCACAATACTTAATCTGACTGTGAATTTGAGATTAAGCTACAGATGCATGAGATTTTTTTCTGCTGGTCCTGCAAATCTAGAACGGACCATGGGTTGAAACGAAGTTATAAATGTGCAATACCACGTTTATATATTTATATGGGTTTATATATATAGCAATGTTTACACACATTTTTACAAAATATTTGTTTAATAACTTGTAGAATTGTGTCTCAGTTTTCGTAGTTTTCATAGTAAAATCCTTTCAGTGAAATGATTTGGTTGCAGTTAACAATATTCCATCTTGCAAGAAAATTAATTCAATTTAATAATTGTTATAACAGAACTTTAGAATACCTTAAAAACAGGTAAATGAAAAGCCTGGCTCTATTTCTGCTACATTTAAAAACAAAACAAAACAACAACCACAAAACTAAGAAGTGCAACTTCAGTTTGGTAGTAAGAGAATCTTAAATATTGTGATTTCCTACATCCTGCTCAGAATAGTGGGGTTTTGTTTGTTTTTGTTTTTCAAAATGATCCAGGAGCGACTGTAAGATTGGTTGGGGTTAATATCTCTAAGTATCAATAGGTAATGAACAAATAAGGAAAAAAATTCATAGCACTTTTGCAAGTTTCAGTACATAGTCATAGAGAAAAGGCTGTACTACCTAAAGACGCCAGGTACTACCTTTAGGCTCTTAACAGAACAAGGCTGTAATGTGCAGGCTACTTCCGTGTAATTAACTGCACCAGTGTTGAGGGGGTTGACGTATGTACATAAGAACAATTTTCATTCTTGATAGGATTGTCTTAGTTTTTCAGTCCTCAGGGATATATTTTAATGAGGTCAACTTTTTGCAGGATATATTTCATTTTACTTGTTTGTTGTACTCATTTAGTTTTCCTATGGCCTTCTCCTCCCTCTGGGATTCAGGAGCTTTGATGCATGATGCTTGTCTATAACACTTGAGAGAGGTTTTAAATGGCTGAGCCCTGCTTCAAAGCCTTCTGAAATGAATTTGAGGTTCCTGGTTGTTTCAGTAGGTTCTTACCAGACCCATAGGCCTGTCGCCAGTTCCTTCCTTTCGTGATAGCCGTCCATCACAACGTATGCATGCTTAGCACTTGCTGGATGAGCTCATGTTACTGTGTAGCACTCATAAGTTTGCTTCCATCTCTCACTAACCAATAACTGTGCAAATGGTACAGGCCACCCTATCATGATGACAGGCCATATTGGAAACCCCCCACAAGTGGAGAGGACAGCAGTTTACGATATATCCAAGAACAGAACCAGAAGAATTTAGGAGAAGTCCAAAGTATGGTGTACCAAGATAAACTCATGACGACTCTCTGAAAAAGTCACCTTCATTTCATCTGCCATCTTAGACGATCATTGCATTCCATGGTCCTTGTCTGTCTGCAGTACGTTCAAAGTGTATTGTGCATAAAGTGTGTGTCTTTATATGTACATCCATCCTTGTTTGGTGTTTGTGGACAGTCTTGGGAAAAGTATTTTTCATATATTTGTTAAAAAAAAAAAATCTTGAAAAAACCTTTTGTGAAAGTTGGTAAGAGTTTTCAGTGTCCCCGGATCAGAAATATTTCTGGGGATATCCACTCTTCCAGGCTTTGTGAATCTGTGATCCTCTGCCTGCTGTTGAAGGTCAGCCATTCATCGTGCCTTAATTATTTTTGTTATCTTGTTTCTTTTGAGTCAAATTCATAAATGAAGTTTGAAAAACATTTTTATACTTGATGTGCAAATAAGAGGTTGGAGGGTAAAAAAAGAAAAACAACAGAATTCACATTTCCAAATGGCTTAAGGACCACCAACAAAGGGAGCCTACTGAGGTAGTCATAGGTTTGGGTGTCTTTTGTTTTTAATTTTTGCGTTCTGCAGCAGAATTAGAGGTGCTTGCCTAACTTCGAAAACAACCATAGGGAAAGAACCCTATAATAAACTTTTTGGAATACGTGTGTCACTTTTTGACGTAGTGATTATGTTAATAGCTTCCCCCAAAACCATACCTGCTGCTATAAATGCAAGAATGTTAAAACGGATCCTTGCTAAAAGGGTGCTGCTGTCTTGTTATTTTTAATGTGATTATGGAAGTCATCTATACCATTGCATAAAACTACTTACCGATAACTTTTCTCTGAGTGGACTCAAAAACACAGCTCATAATTCATATACTACAAGACAAGGACGATCCAGTCCTTGAATAGCTCTATTTTTTTAAGTTAGACATTTGGAAAGTTGAATATATATTTTACAGACCTAGCTTTTTAAATAGGTTGGCTGGTTGTTATGTTGATCAGTGGCGATTTCTTTTTTTTAAACTGGGAATCATAGTGCCATCTTCATTAATGTGTTTGTTTTAATTTGGCCTTACATCTGTGGTCTCTCTGAAGTTGTTGGAACAAATAAATCTTTATTTGGGATATTTTAAAATGAAGTAGTTTTTAAACTTGATTTTGATAAATATAAATTTATAAACAGCTATAACCATGAATTTTTTTCAGAGCAAATTTGATAGTGTATACTTTTTTTGTAAAGTACATTTGTTTACAAATGCTATCTTTTAATATTTGTTTTGATCTTTACTGTATGTGCTAAGTACAAATAAAAATTCTCAATCTTCTTGGTTTGGTTATGACGCATTATTTATTTTTGAAAGATTTTGGGGGAGGGTGCACAGATGCAGTACACCACCAATTTGTACCTGTTTTACCCTGGATTCACTAATGCTGCACTTGTAGCGTCTGCATCGCTACAGGTAACATCTGTGCAACTAATGTTGGGGAGGTGGGACACAACAAGAAAGCAATGGTGCACCGAGATGTGAAAATGCCACAGTAAGCCTAAGGTGGGTAATCACAGAGGCTGCCTTCAGTTTCCTGAGGTCAGCCTTCCTCTCTGTCACAAGCATTTTATTTGAGAAAGGAAGCAAGAGAAACTTTGCTGGAGCCATTGGAACAAGAGCCTGGTTTAGCAGCTCTGAATGTCTGAATGCCCTCTGGAGGTTTTTGGTAGTGTTTTTTGTTTTGTTTTTGTTTTTGTTTGAATGCTCACGTTAGTTAGGTGGAGTATTTATTGCTTCATGATTCACACACCTACATTCGTAATGCACTATTGTTTTTGTCAAGTAACATCATTTGCTTCTGTGTGCTTTGTTGTCAGTGTTCCTCCTCCTTGTGTGTTATCTGTGGTCTGGCTTATTGCTGAAGGTGCACTGATCTCCCAGAGAGATCTGAAGGAAAACCAGCTCAGAGCCTGATCAGTCTTTAAGCGTTAAAATGCCTCGTGCAGGAGGTCTGCACATGGGTGAAGAGCATCCTGTGGGACCTGTGTTCTGCAGTTTGTGCGTGTCGCCTCGAGGGAAGCGCTGTCCCACTGCTTCTCTGGAGAAGGAGCTCGTGTGCTCCCTCTCCTTGTACTTTTCTATTCCACATCCTCCTTGCTGTCTGCAGAAATCTGCACCAGCAATGTCACCGAGCGTTCAGATAGGTAAGGACAGCTCAGATTCACTCTCCTTCCTTGCTGTGGTCATAGTTGGCTTCTTGTACCAAGTGGGCTGAGATGTGGCTGGGATAAGGTAGCATTTCTGGCTGTCTCCTCTCCGACCCCACGCATTGCTCTGATTTGTGCAGCCTACATCTGGACAAGGGTGGAGCTGGGTGCCCCTGTAGTGAACTTGGTGGTACAAATGAGTTGCTTTAAATCTAAAACAACCTAGAAGCTCTTTTCTTTTCCCCCTTCTAAAATGAGCACGCTTGTTACTTACAAAGTATGTTTTTGAACCGGTGACTAATGTGGCTCTTGTGATTTCAGGAACGCAGTGTTTGTTGGAAGCAAGGCAAACCTCTTGGAAGGTGAAAACCAAATTGCGTGGGGAAAGGGGAGAGAGTAGAAGGGTGGAAAATGTTTGGTAAGCTCAGCTGGTAAATGTAGTCGCACCTTTTGTTGAAAATAAGACTGGGAAAACCCTGGTGGTGTAAATCAATAACTTCATCTTAGATTAATGCTGCTACAGGATGCCACTGGTAGTTTATAGATGCACAAACTCAGTACAGAGACCTGACAGCCCTGGTAGGTGAGTGGTTTTACATTGTGCTGAATTATTTTAACTAGTGGTTTCTCATGAGGAAATGCCACGTGATTTTTACTTTGTACAAAAGAGCACGTTATACAGGCACAGGGAAATCAACAAATTCTGTATGTACTGTAAATATACGGGGAAATTGCCTCATGCACTGCCTGAAGGAAGTACCACAGCACGAATCCAAACGAAGCGCGTTCTCAGGAGTACGTGCAGAATTCCCCCACCCAGTTCTGAAGTCTGTTCCTTGTGCAAGTTGCAAACCTTTTCTTTTTTTTTTTACAAGTCCAGTGTACACTGAAACTCTTCTGTAATCTGATTACAGGTGATAAACACCATCCTCCTGTCATCTAAGGGAGGGAAGCTACGTGAGTACAGTGCTAGGCACTGGAGAAATGGCACTGCTCTGTAGCTCTGTGTGTGCCAGGATGCAGAATTGCTTTATTCATCCTGTCGGAGGGTACCTGGGATCACCTCTGTGCATGCGTGTCTCCTGCATTACCAAGGCTGGAACCCAGCTCTTCCCCAGTGTAGCTCAGGGCCAGCTCCATGTTGTGTATTTTGTTTTAAAGTGTTTTTTTTTTGTTTATTTGTTTGTTTGTTTTACTAATTGTAACTGTAATCCTACATGCCCTGCCCCAGCAGCTGGTGGGGGAACTGAAAAGCTGACAACACCACATCTGTAACCTGGGCTGAAATATATCCCTCTTCAGCCCCAGCCAGGCCCTGGCATGCAAACTAATGACTAACACTGAGTGCTGAAATACAATACTGAAAGTGACAACGGTTTTGAATTGTTTTAGCGTGGGTTTTTCCCTCAAACTTTCATTTTCAGCTATTTTTCTCCAGCTGATGTGAGTCACGGGCAAAATGAACAAAGGGATCAGTTTTTGTAATGTATTGCCAAAGCGGGCAATGTGGGGGTTGCACATTTAAGGAAGAGACTCAGGGCATCCTTCTGGAATGTTTTGTCAGTGAACCCATGTGCAGATTGACCAAAACAAGGATTTCCTGCTCATATTGTGGACAGAAACAAAGCATATATTATGGCCTTGTGATGTAAAATGTCATTTTTCCTTCGTGCTGGATGAGTGTTGCAGAAGATCTCTCCTCAGACCTGCGAGAGAAATAATATTAGAGCTTGCAACTGATTTTGAAAATGGACCTTCCACTGCTGATGAGGAATGAGTTGGGGAACTTCTAAGACAGGGAAAAAAAATGAAGATAAGTGTATCACTTGCTTCTCAGGCGTCAAAGCTGTCTAGATGGAGACCTGCGGGGAAGGAGCAGTGACAATTCAGTGTTGCTGTCATCTGTTCTCAGAGGTTTCCCACCAGTTTGTGTATCAAGCAGGCAGGCTACAGCTACCGACCTTGAAGGGGAGAAGAAGGCACATCCATCTCACCTGACACCAGATCTCTGGACAGATAAGTGCTTTCCCTCTTACCCTGGCAAAGGAGAACTGAGAAAAGCAGTCCAACTCTCATTAATGGGCATCAGTAGGAATGGTATTTTTTGAAACTATTTCAAACTCTGTACTGCAGGCACCAGACACATGGGAAAATGCAGCTTTTGGACAAAAGCAATGCTAGTCAAAGTAGGTAAGAAGAAACATAATGTAAAGGGAATGTGCAGACCACGCCCATCTGCCTGCTTGTCTCCTGTCATTATAAAGCAGTGTGTGAAATGATAAAGACCTTGCTTGACTTATACTGCTTTTTTACTGAAAATCCACGTCCTCCTGTACCCTGAAGTGCCTGGCCAAATAGGCTTCCTTTCTGATGTATGTGCTGTTTCTCTCATTGCCGCTGCGTCACAAAAACAGATAAAAGCTTGATTCAGCTGGAGTTCCTCCCTTAAAATGAGTCACTTCCAGTAATAAACCTTCTGCAGGTTACATTCCGCTCTCAGCTACCTACTAATGACTGCTTCATGACTGTCCTTTATAGCAAAACAACTTCTTCTCAGTTGGTTTCATGAGTGCTAATCTGAATTTAGTTACAAAGTTCTCAAACCAAGCTTTGTTGCGTGCTTTCTGCTTCACATATCAGTAGGTTGCTATTGAAAATGCAGGCACGTCTTCTGTAATAACTTTCATACTGCTTTGAATCTCAGCATATAATTTTCAATTTTGAACTGGGGAGAAAGGTGGTTTTTTAATGCAGTTTCTCTATCTTTCCTAAAGATGGTGACTTTTTTTTTTTTTTTCCTCAGATAATCTTGGCAGACTTAGCACAGGAGGTAGATTGGTGGAGACAGGATGGTCCACCAGCCTGTTATCTTAGCCCCATGTTAATTCTTGTCTTTCTCTTGACTCTGTGGGACTACTTTTGGTTTGTTAGCATTTTATCTTCCATGATTTGTTGCATGTCCATATGCAGTGAAGAAATACAAAAAAAATTGTATGATTTCTTCATATGAAGAAGTCCAGTTCATTTTCTCGCTATCAGGCCGTCATCATGAATACTTCTTAGTCATCAGACCTTCTGAGACCTGAGGAATCTTCCAATTTAAAAATAAGATAAATGTTGAGCTAAGACTACTGGAGAAGCAGTGGAAATGCCCCTAGACTTCTGTTTTCCATTGCCACCACAATTACTTTCCTACTTCTTTTTTCTGTACTTCCAATCTTCTAAGTTTATGTGCTTGTGTTTTTCTTACTTCGTCGTCTTTTCTTCTTCTTGCTGTAGTAATAGCTTAATGGCCTTCAGCTTTAAAGTACCAAACAACAAAAACTGCAGCTCACAATGTCAAAAACTGAAGATACGTCGAATTAAGCAAGAACGGATGTTTCAAGTAGAAGCAGTTGGGAAACCTGTAATTTCTGGATTAACCATGTCATATGTTGAAGGATTATTAAAAAAAAAAAAAAGTAATTTTTCAATGAAATGATGAAAAACATCCCTCGCTTCCTGCCTCCTGAATGAAATGGAGTAAGTAGCCACACCTAGTTAGTAGTAGGAAGTACTGATCTAATGCAATTGAAACTCCAGATAATAAGCTACTTCTTTATAAATATTTCATTTTCTCCACTAAGCCCATAACAATCTGTGCTAGTAATCACGATGGTTTGCCTACCATTTATCAATTTCTGCATTTTTTTTAGAACCTTAGGGAAGGAGAAAACATTACACAATTTAGTTGGCACTGGAGAAACAGTAATCACATAGCAATGAGGATGGGAAGAGGCAAGGGAGCTTTGAGACTTCAGCGTCTGTGTTTTCAGCACCTGGAGCTCACTGATCAATGAGTACGGCTGATCTGAAGAAAGTCTTCAAGGAACTTTGAAGTAAAACTGGACGACTTTGTCAAAATTTTCAGCCCAGAAGGGCTTCGTTATCAGTTGTTTTCAAATTCTACTGTTTTATTCAATGTCTTTTTGTCTTACTCTCATTTTCTGACTTTAAAAGTACTCTGAAAATTGCTTTTAAGACAAAATGAAAAGTTTCTTGCTGTAATTCAGATGAGTTGCTCAAGTGTTGCATGAAAATGGAGATAGGGCAGGTTGCAAGTCTGAGAATGCCCTTGCTGTGCTGAGTGAT